AGCTCTCTACCAGCTCTCACTGTGGTGCCTTGCTGATTCAGCTGGCCGCGTCTTCTCCTATATTTCAGTTACTTGCATTCCTTGTGAGGGATAGCTGCTACAGAAACCTTCATTGGAGTCTTTGTCCTTYGTTCAAGGGATTTATTATTGTTGTTGTTTATTTGTTTTTGGACTATCTGCTAATCAATTGTGGAGTTTTCTATGGTATTTTTACAGCTTTGCCTGTGTTTTCCTTTTTTGGGGGGGGAGGGGGATGCGGGGGCGGGTTGTTCTTTGACATATGTCTTCAAAGTTTCAGCATTACCTTAGTGACTGTTAGTGGTATCATTACTTCAGTGTGCCAGGTTCTCGCCTGAGTATTAGAAAAAGGTCTATRACTTGAAGAATTTACATAAATAAAACATTTGTGTATCTCCTACATTCCCCCCATCTTTTCATTTTTATTTTCCTTTTTTCTTTGGCTTATTCCGTGATTTTTTTCAATACTCAGTGTTAGCAGTATCGTTCACTGTGAACAAAACTTTTTTTTTTATTTCCTAAAGTTTCCTTGAGTTCTGAAAATTGGAGTAGTTCCATTTCTAATGCACACAAGATACTGTGTAGTTAAACTTAGAAGCCTTTTTTAATACTGAATAAACATCTCAACTGCATTGTTTATGCAAGCTGRTAACTGTTTATCGGATGATACGTTGCTTAAAAATACACACCACCAGGATATGTAATTAAAGTGAATTGGTTACCAATGCTCTTATTTTACTTCCAACATTTTATCTAGATTAAATAATCTTTTAAACCATGTTAAGATACAGTTGCTAAATTACATCATGAAATCTCTTTTGGCTTGAATAAAAATACGAAGCGCTTAACCAATTAACTGCTGTAGTTTTGGCAGTACTAATATTTGAGGCCCTGTGTACATTTATTGTATGTGCAGGCCTTTAAAAAGCTGCACTTACTTGTTTACACATCCTTTAAAGGCTTTGCTTTTATCCAGATAGATGAGAGATTTTACCYGAAAAGAAGGGAAAAAAAGTTTATTAAAGAATGTCTAAAAGTTAGAGGCTTTGGTGTTTTTTTTTCTCAGTRGGATGTGTTACCTTGTCTGTTTTGTTTTCTTTGGCCCTAAGAATGGATCCTAATGGATACAAGTTAACTTCATTGGAGAGAGGGAGAATTGCTTTCCAGACTTTACATGGCAGCACTAAACTTCTTTTTCACTCCAGCTATTGGAACAAACAACGACAAAAAGCCCCACCAGTTTGTGCACTTTCATTGAGTGTTAGCTATTACAAAAGCTGTTTCTGCTTAGAAAATAAAAAGCCATTACATTTCGAGTCTTATCTTTCATGTGTGCTATGATTCCTTTTCTTACTCTGTGCTAAGACATAAAAGCATAGAAATAAAGATCTTTCTCATTTTATAAGAATTCAACTACTGCTTTTGCTCGTTTGTTCTCTCATGGAAGTTAATATTTTCTGTGTCTGCCATTACTGTCATTTTTTCTGAGGATCGCAGAAGTAGGCTGATGGCTTCAGATGTGGAATAAGCAATAGAAACAGGTGAATTGAAGAACAATTTTCTTTCCATAAATGTTTGGTAATAGAGGGGAAAGTGCAGTAAAAAGGCAATTTAGAGAACGGAAAGAAAATGTGCTAAGGTTTTCCGTACACTGCCTGTAAAGTGGGTTGTGTATTTTACTGAAATAAAATGATTTTAATTGCTTTGAAGAAGACGTGCATATAGAAATATAGTATAGAATTTATGTCACATCTTTATTAATCAATGCATCTCCATTTTCTTTCAAAAGAGGAAGAAATGGGGAGAAAACAGACACATGAGTTTTTTTCCTGTTGTAAAAATACTGCCTGAAATATCACTTTAATTACCTTAAAATCTAAGTTTTTATTGTTGTTACCTCTTACATAAAGTAGCACCTTACACAGGAATTTCATTCTTAATAGTCAGGGACTAATGTTTGAATTAAGTCCTTGGGGAAAATATACATGCTTGAAATGAAGGAAAGAATGACTCGATGTGGAATAAGGGCCCAATCCAAAAATAAAGTGCACTATAAGAGTGCACAAAAATACCTATGATCCTTGCCCCYTGGTAGTCAGCGCAGATAACATAGCTCTTCTCAGAGGACCTAACCACATGCTAGGGCACTGGTTTCCCCTCTTTTTTGAACTTAAAACAACTATRAAATATGGTAGCATGTAAACAAGCCGTCATGATTGATCTCAGAATGGTTGCAATACTCTGCAAGGTGAGACGATTTGAGATGGGTTAGGTACTTCTTCTGTACTTCGACTTTCTTTCAGAAAATTGGGGGAGGGGAGAGGAGGATGCAAAATGGGAGCTTTCCTAACTTTATCGCCCCAAAACCTTTCATGGTGAATGACAGAGAAGGTGATATGAGGCAGTGAGAAACCCTTTCTGGAGGAAGGAAAAGATGTCTCTGTTGTTCATAACACTGTGAAACACGCTTAACATTGCTATGCAGCACATGCTGGGGGAAGGCCATTTCAGGAGGAGAGGTGGTGGTGTCTGGCTCAGATCCTACATAGGCTGTGATAGTCACATGGAGGAACAAGGGATGAGCCTGCTGCGGTCAAGGGACAATCAGGACATCTGGTTTGGAGAATCTCAGAAAATCTGCTAAAGGAAGAAGATTAAAAACAGATCTGAAGATACCCTGTCCCTCTTTAAAGGTCAGTTCCTTCAAATGAAGGAGCATGCAGGAAGTGTGTAGGTATGGAGTGCAGCTTATAGATATATGGATTATTAAGGGCTTTTTCACTCGCTCTTTCCTTCCTGTGCATAGACAGTGCAGACACAGAGTTTTGCTAAGACGCAGGAGAGTATTTCAATGCTGCAGGTACACTGTGCACGGAGTACCTGTAGCCCCCATCAAGTGCCCAACAGCTCCTAAATTGTATGTAAACATTGCCGTGAGGACTTCCACTGACATGGTATAGGAAACGCTAGGACCTCTACTTCTTTTCTGAGATAATTGCTAAAACCTGCAATGGTTAAAACCCTGAGATCACCACTTCTCTTTCAGGAAAATTCAGCTAAGTCAGTGCTTTGGCAGGTACTCATACTTTCAGGAAAGATCTGTCTCTCACATTGCTAATGAATGGCCAAGCAACTATATAGATAGTTAATAAAGCTGCCTAATTGCCACAGTCAGATAGAGCTGCCACGTAGTTTATTACTATTCTGAGCATCTGAACACTAGCAGAATGATAAACTGACAAAGCCTTACGAGATTGTTAGCTTAAGCAATTGCTTGCAGTGCTCTGCTTTTCTCTGTGGTAGGTGATCTTTCCAACACTTCCCTGCTTTGGCAGGAAGACAGACACAGAGTTGTACCCACTGACAATATGCAGCAGTTTTCAGCCTAATAAACCTCCCCAAGTCCTTGCACATCCATGGTGGGTTAGAAGGAGTTTTCCTGAATGCACTAAAGAAATGTAAATATAGCAGCTGCACGTGTCAGGCAGACATCTAGACTGTGTATCTCTTTTCAATATGTATGTAAAGAACCAGTGTGTTGAGCAGACAGTGGTAGAAAGGAAAAGATGGATAGTGTGGGTACTGGATTATTGGAGAGGTTACAGGAAAAGCTCTTTGTGGGTGAGGAAATGGATGAAAAAAATAATGTGGGAGATGGACCTGATCCGCCGGCTCACAAAGACTTAATGCTGTAACAAGCCTCAGTTGTAAAGCAGTTTTAACAAAATTGTCTCACAGTGTCATTCTCATGTGGCAAGGAAAACCCTAGGGCTCCCTGGAATGAGCAGAAGTAGTCAGAGCGAATACCAAGTAAAATGTTAGCATTCTGCTTATCAGTTTAAGAATAAGACCTGTTCCATGCAGTGTAGGAGGACTGAGAGCATTGTTCAGGGCCCAGTTTTCTTAATTGCCTTTATCTGGAAATTAATGCAAAGCAGGTTCTTGGACTTGCWCCTGTATGTGCTGCTACGTTGCCTGTAGACAGTCATGGCCTTTTTCAAACCCGTATCCCTTTGACAGTGGTAAATTCACGTGTCACTACTCATGAGTAAGTAGACAACAGAGATGAAAAATTATGCTAATGAACTGAAATAACCAATCTCTTGTAGAAGAGCTTTTATATGTGGGATCTGAAATGTTACATTTCCTCGTAGAGCTTTTGGTTGCTGAAGCATAGCAGAGTTAAGCACAGCTAGCAGTTAAATGGAGGTTTATACTTGTGAAGAGGCTCTTTGGAAGAAAATAGAGAGTATGGGTAAAATTGTTAAAGCGTTAGATAAGGATCTTGGGTTACCATGGCTACATGAATATTTTGCATTGTGTCACAGATTAGGATGCATAGGATGAAGTAGCCAAAACAACTAGGAAGTCCGGTGCACACAAAGTACATTGCCAAAGCAACTAGTATTGCCAAAGAGAAAGACAAAGAGCTCGGGGTGTTGGCTGCTGACACATCTGTGAATCAATACAATGAGGCCTGGAGAATATTTGAATGTGTGTGACCTGAAATGCCCATTATTCTGGAATTTTGTTTTTATATTTAAAAGAAAAATGAAGTGAAATGATTTTCTGTTAGCTTTTTCTGGTCCTGAAATAGGACATTTGGCTTTGAGATCTTGAACAAAGCAGGATGATGAAACATGGATAATACATTTCGTGCACTCAGGCTGGCAGTGGCACACTGGAAGCAGTTAATTCCCATGGAAACCTATTTGCATTTGGGCCAGAAGTGACTTTTTTTTCCCCCTGTGCTAGAGCTGGTGATGTTTTAGCATAATATAATTGCTCTATATTGACAGCAGATTTGAAAAGTATTTTTAAAATGATGAGTAGCTGAGCATATGTATAATGGAGATGTAGTCTGTGTAGTTTTTTGTGTGGGATGGAGGCATGTTACTGAGCAGCTCCTGATCTTCAATTATTTATCACAAAAAGAAGAAAGATGAAAAAAGATGTTTATCCCGAATTATTTTTTTAAACAGGTGACAAAAGAGCTGAAACAGTATGACAATAAAATTATAGAGTGCAAGTTTGAAAACAACTGTTGGGTCTTCATGAGGCAGAGAATAGACAAGAGCTTTCCAAATGCATACAGCACTGCCATGGGTGAGTAGAATAATYGGCTTTTTGAGTTTTTTTTTTTACATTCTGAGTTTAACTTCTTAAAGAGCTTAAGGAGGAAAGGTGCTCTGCATTCTCACACCTGTTTKGAGTCCTCATGTATGTAACTTACAAGTATAGGTCCTCACCTTCCAAAGGTTTATGTCATGTTCAGAGTATATGTACCATGAGTGCTTTGGTTTCARCAGGATTAACAAATACTCAGAGGCAGTATTTCAAAATTAATAAACAAGTGCTGTGTCTTTGCAGAACTGCAAACACTTATTCAGACAGATTTTTAGGTCTTTTAAATGAGATCTAAGAACATTCCTTATTTGCAATATTCCTGCAATAGTATTTAACTGACAGACTTCTATTTCCATAAGTAGTTTTTCTTGAAGAAATAAAATACGGTCATTTGGTCAGTTGACAATAAATCTGCTGGCACCTTTGGACACCAGCCCAGAATCTATTTGAAATGCTTGCTGAACTGTCTTGGCTGAGGAAGAGGAATGGACCACACATAAAAGTGCAGTGACTTCTTTTTGCAGTCAGGAGCTAAATTACTCTTCACCTTATTATTTCAATAATTTTTCCTTGGAGCTTTCTGGGTAGTCTTTTTTTTTTTTTTTTTTTTTTGTAAGGGTAAATGCAACAGCCCACATTCTCATTTTCTAGAGCAACTGAGAGATCATTCTTCTTTTTTTTCCCACCAGAATATGATAAACTTAATAGCAAGAAATGCTCCTAAGGGAAGTATTATTTAAGAAATATTTTAAATTTTCTGTGGGGAAATTTGAGAGCAGAATTTTTCACATTTTTCATTTTTGAATGTTTCTGAAATCTCCAGAAGCTCCATTTTCTCATTTGGGTCTTCAAGTGTTCCTATCTTTATATCTTCTCTCTTCCTGGTTTTCTGTCTCATTTAAAAAAATGCTTTAATAGCTGAAATAGCATCAAAATAAGTATCTTCTGAATTATGAGCCTTTTCAAATTGAAAAAAGTTTTTCCCCAAAATACTTAGAGTCAAAATGATTTTTAACTGCTGGTCGCACATAGAACTTTTAAAGCACATTAAAAATAAATATGATAATCAAAAAATAATGCTGAGATGTTTTATAACTTGTATTAATACTGTCAATTGATTGCATTATATTAACTTGTATTAATGCTATGAATTAATGCTTGAATTAATATTGTGAATGCTTCTGCAGCAGAAGAGTGTTTTCAAAAGTTACTATATCATTGTTACTTGTAATAGTGTTATGTTTCATTCTCAGGGGTTAAATTTTGTTCAGAAATGTAGGAGTCAGTAGATTATCTTCAATGACACTGCATACATTTTGGGCAGTGAATTATTTTGAAACAATGTTACACTTTTTGTTTCAAGATAGTCATAGGAATCCTACTTATTTTCTTGCTTTTGGGGGATTTTTTTCTTCTCGCTAAGTCTCACGATTAACTAGAGGAAGCTAAAGTTGCATCTATTTATTTAAAGACAATTGAACCTTTTTACAAGCATAAACATTTTATAAACATATATATCCTTTCAGGTACACAATTATATGTCCCTAATAAAATAAATGCTGCATGTTTTTACATGCTTTAATGTTTTAATGTTAATTAAATGTTAAATGTAAATTAATGTTAATTAAAACTAATTATGTTTTAATAGTAATTGTACTAATTTTTAATTCCAAGATGTTCAATTTTGGCAAATTTTCTAATGATTTAGTTAGCATTTTCAAGTCAATTTCACAAGGTCTGTCTCTTGCTCTCTTGCTCTCTTCACTCACTGATAGAGTGTCAGTTCTTGGCCGGTGAAGGCCTTCATACAGGCCTTCCTGTATGAGGCCTATATACACTTATATGTACACATGCACACACATATGTGCTACTTTGTAGTTCCAATAGTGTTACAGAATCCAGGAGTGATTCTGAATGAGGTATGTGCTGTGGCAAGAGCGCTTTGCTCCCTGTCCTCCACAGTCCCCAAGGGCAAAGCAAAGACTTTTTGATCCAAGAGTCTCACAAAAATACCTGTTTACAGCCAAATAAGTGTTACTTATTTTGCAAAGGGGATCACCTTATGCAAGCAACAGACAGCTTTGCTGACGTGCACTTTGTTTGCAGCCGTGTGCAACAGCATCCAGCACCCGGTGACGAAAGAGATGCTCTTCGAGTTCATAGAGAGGTGTACGGCAGCTCCGCAGGGGCCGGTGCGGAAGCACCACCTCGACCCCGACACAGAACTCATGCCGCCGCCGCCGCCCAAGAGGCCGCGCAGCGTCACATAAGGCTGGGCCCGCGGCCGGCGCCTCCGCAGCCCTGCACGAGCCAGCATGAGTGCTGGGGGAAACATTAGGGCTGAATTGCTGTAAATACTTAGGTGTGCCTCTTTTTGATTTCCTTTTTGTTTGTTTGTTTGTTTTGTTTMTTTTCCGATTCCACATCATGAATGGACATTGTTTTGTAACTGAAAAATTCAGCCCTATGTTGTGGTATCCGGAGATGAAAATTCCAAAGGTTTAGACAAGAACAGTACAATGGAATCAATGGAAAGCTGCCTCGCTTCTATATGGAAATCTTTTCACCTTTAATTTATAATGTCCACGATCTGGAACTGAGAAAACATTGGGATGCTGTACTTTTTAAAAGCTATGTTTAAAGCAAAAAAGAAGTGTTTTTTTTTTAATTATTGTTATTCAGCTGGTTGGAATTTGTCGTTCATAGTTTAATTTATCATAGTTTCCCTGCATTTCTGAGACTTGTGTCTAACAGCAAATAGCAATGTTGTTTGTGCACCTTGTTGCTTAAAAACAAAAGCTTTCTCAGATTTCACTAATTTTAAAATTAGTCGAGTTTTTGTTGTCAAAATACTTACAAAACAAAAAAACATGAATTCTTCTTGTAAAAGGCACCCATCCTTTTGAAAGAAAGTGTGCTGGGTATGTGTCTGTCTTTTTCTTCCCYGTGTTTAAACTTAGTGCACCAAATACACAGTGGGCTGATTTTAGCTTCGCCTTTTCAGTTTTTTTCTGGAGTTAGAGAGCACACACCATGTCTTTAGTATTGAAGTGTCTGTTCTGAGAAAGTTTCTAGTAGAGGACTTACATCTCCACAGTGATACCGCCGTAAGTACTGTTACAAAATGCACTTCTCTGTGGTTTGCAGAACAGCACATATTAGACCCCGGCATAAAACAGCCAAAGAAATGCCCAAGCACTCCTGTGTGGAGGAGGAGGTAGTTTCAGTGGAAAAGAGCCACATCACAAGGGAAAGTTTTAAGTAATTGCAAGACAAGGATAAATAAAGAGAAAACATTTCTGGATGTGATTTAGCATCATGGGGAACAGGACGCTCATTGACAGGCTGTCCTCATCATCCTAATGCACACGCTAACTCCATCATACCCGATGGAGAAGCAGATGCCCCAATGGTGGCAGTGCTGGCACTTGGTCCTAACACTAACTTTAAGACAACTCCAGTTGACTAAGGGAGGAGCTGCTCTGAGCTGGGATTAGAAACCAAGCTAACGCAGATCTTACGGTCTACTGTGCATTTGACATGCTGGGATCTGGCTGGCTGTGCATACTGTTGACCTGATGTGTAAGTACAATGCAACCACCCATTCAAGAATCTGATGAGTGAACATTAAAGATTTGGGATAATAACTAAAATGTATGTCTRTTTGAATGAGTTTTAATGTTTGTAAACAATTCAGTTAGCAGTATTTTATTTTCTATGGGAACTAGGCTGTGCTTTGTAGTGGCTTCTCCAGCTGTTTCAACCCATTGTATAAAGATGCACAGTCTCACTGAGGTGGTGCCCTAGTGGCTTTTTCGGGGATATTCCATGTGTGTTTTAGAGAACTGAAGAAGTTAAGTTACTTTTTATACTGTGGTTAAAAAAAAAAAAAAAAAAAGTGAGAGGAAGAAAATGTGTTAGCAAACTGTACATACTTTCTGCATATTATCTATAGAAAAGATATAATATCACCTATGCAAGGTTGCAAACTTGATCTCCTAAAAAAGAGCCTTACAAATTCGATGTGAAAACCTATGCAGCCTCTGTGCATCTTGCATTGAAACACACAGTTATTTCTTCAGTTAGCATAAGTGTATTTTCCCTTAGATCATACTCTTGTCTTTGACATTGTCATAACATTTTTTGTCAGGGATCTTCATGGTCTATGATAATTGCAATGTCTATGATGAGTACAACATTTTAAATGAGTTAGGACATTTCACTATTGTGAGGATGTGTCCAGATCTTCTCCTTTTGTCTCCTGAGCCCTTGCATCTTGTATCTCAACAAGACTTAATTTCTGCTTTGCCTTTACTTCGGAGCAGCAGCGCTACCGGCCGTGTTCCACATGTGTCCACCAGGTTTGGGAATGCACTGCGGCCCTTGCTGTGTTTTGATAGTGTCTTCTTCTCATGCTCAGCTTGAAATTAGTATTTTGAGTGAATAATGACACTGAGAACTAGTTTAGAGCTCCACGTCACGTTTGACTCTAGCTCTCCTCTTACATTACAACCTGGTGGCTCTTCAGCAAGGTCAATCACCTGCGCTTTCTGGAAGAGGAGACGTCAGGGGAAGGCGAGCATGACGGATCTCGTGGAAGGATATGGGGCTCTTATGCTGTGAGAAACTTAAATTCACTTCTGCTACTGCTCTGATCCTCAGAGATTGAAGCTAAGAAGCAAAGAAGAGTCTGTGCAAGGAAAATAATAATAATAAACCTTCTCTGCTCTTTGGTATACAGCATGAATCCATCCAGCATTTTGTCATTTGTTAAATATATAGTTAAATTTGGTTTCATTTGAGTTTCCAGAAAATGTAAGTACATTCCTCTACAAACTGTGTATTAAGTATTTTAATAAAGTCAATGGTTTAAARTACTTCTGCTAAAGACCTGTTTGCTTGAAATGCCTGTGCTGCGGTACAGGCTCTAGAGTACTATATCCTTGTTACTATACAGTGAAAATTTTCCACAATTTTCAGAAGTGAATCATCTTACTTTAAATTAGGAGCCACCCCTTACACCTCCCAAGCCAGTAAAAAAATGTCCTTTTCAGTCACAATCCATTCTGCTGTTCCTAAAGTACAATTCGATCTTCCTGCCACTAGAACCAGAAAGAAATGGAAAAACCTGTCAAGTATTTATTTTTTGCCAGGCTAACATGTGTAGCTTGCTTATCCAGGCTTAGCTTAAGCTGCAGTCACATCAGAAATCTGGAGGGGACAGCGGAGGAGGTCATCAGTGCCTGCTTGTCATCCTGCACRGCCCAAGGGCTGATGGTACAAGGGTGCCCTGTAAACACCTGCTTGGATCAAGTCCTCCACTGAAGAGGTGAGTGAGCCACTTTAAATTCTGACTCCCATCTACTGTATCTTCTAGGAATTAAAAACCCCATCTTGATTTTTAATTTCCTTCAAGTGGAAATCCTGTCTCAGCTGCTGGTATGTGCTACTAACATGGTAGTGGTACCTCATTTCTGGCAAGAAGTCTTTCCAATTCCATTTCTAGCCACTGCTTTTAATATCCCTTGCTCTACTAGTGGAAAATTATGCTGAAAAGTTTCTTCTATTTAAGTATTTTTAGTCACACAAATTGCAGCTTTTTTCATAACCTGAAAGTCCAGGCCCCTAAAAGGCCCTGCAGTGGGACATGTGTTACAGTCCGCTAGGCTGTTCTTGTCCTCCTCCCGACCATCTCCAGTTTAGCAGTGTTTGGGTGTGAATACCAAACCAGATTTGGGGTCTCAGCTAGCACGTGAGGAGGTGCAGCAGCTTCTTTATTTAATTAAAGTCTTGTCTCATGTGCTTGCGGGCAGCAACTGCACCCACCTGGCTGCCACTCTACTCTGTGGTTGGGTTGGGGTGATTGTTCTGCGGAGGAAATGATTTATAGTCATATTGACTCCCATAGTAGGGTTTTATTTAATCAGAAATACTGTTCATGTCCCTTTCTCCCCTCCTTCCCCYTCCCTCAATATTGTCCTGTCTGTTGGATGAGAAGAAAGCACACAAATCGGGTTTGGGGCATTCAGCTATGATACTTGGAGAAAATTACATTTTGATTGAACTTTGTCTAATGTGAGGAGCCAATAAGGTTATCACATGAAATAGGTCTATATAAACACTTAGGTATGTAACACTGGAAAAACAGATTTTTATTATTACCAAAAGACACTTGAAAGTCTCTGAGCTAATTTGGTCGTGAAAGGATGGGCAATTCTAATCCAAAGGGCAAAAACTCAATTCAGAATTGTACCAGTGTTGAACAGGAGAGAGAGAAGGTAGTGCTGAAGAARAGGAGTTCAGGCGTCCAAGGAAGACCAAAGGGGATTTGGGAGGAGCTGCTGTCTGCACTCCGAAGTCGCTGGYGTGCACTTAGGCATGCGCCTGCGTGCAGGGCTGGGGCAACAGGGCTCCTTGTGGGGCAGAGGCCTCACACGTTCTGCTTCCTTTGGCCTCACATCCTGCCAACAGAAATAGGTGGGCTTGGCAAGTGCAAATGCTGAATGAAGCTGGAGAATGGAGCTGGCCCCAGGACTACAGAGGTATAAAATAAATTACTGGTGGCCACCCCTGCCAAGTGCCTTTCTGAGCAAGAGCAGTGTGGGAAGCCACCGAGAGTGGCACGAGTGCTGCACGTGCCAGCTCTGTTCTTGCGGCCCATGGAGCCCCAGCAGCACTGGGACAAGGAGATGGATCCAAAGAGGGGCAGCAGAATGAAAAACCAAAACAAAAATGTTCCCCTGCAGGGTAAACTAAAACTGCAGTTTGTGATGAGGTCAGATAAGAATGAAAACAAAATTGCCTCTGAATTCCCTCTGTCAGCTGATTTGGCACACAGTGCCATTTCAGTTAAGTAGCTCTAATCTTCTCTTTTGGTTCAGTTTACAGGCAGTCTTATGCAAGATCTTTTTAATGAGGAATGTTGGGTGGACAATATGGAGGTTTGAGATACATAAAATAAGCACTAAGAAAGCACTAAATAGCAAAAAGAGAAAAAGCCTCTGCAGCAGGCAGTGGAAACCTCACATTTCTGAAAGGCTCTGTGATCTTTAAAGCAATGGGCTTTTTGAATAATTTACTTTCCCCAGCCATGTCAGCTTGTTCGTTTAAAAGAAAAGATTTAGTATGTTACTGTGGTGCTAAAAAAATGGATCCTGTGAAATCAATGATAATACTTAGCTGTCTGAGCAAGTGGCCGCTGCTGTTCCGCAAAAGGAATCTGTGGCAGACAAGTGCTGAAATCTGAAACAGTCGTGTTTGGCTTTGCACTTCGGCCATTTGTTGCTTGCATCAAAGCCCTGTGTGTTTCTCCCTGAAATGGAGCAGCACCCTTGCCAGCCGCCTTGGTTATCAGTGGCTTTTCACTTTCCCTGCCAAACACCAAGGAGAAAGATGGGCGCTCCTCTGGTTCTGGTGTCACGGGTAGGTAATTTTTTAACATCAGCTGCACACAGTTAGGTGGGGACAGGCACTTGGAGAGTGSTAGGCACAGGGAGGGAGCTCGGAAGGGCCGCCTGGCTCTGGAGGGTGGCAGCACATCCCCTTTGCTGCCTGCTCAGGTCACGGATGTATCCGCAGGGAAAACCGAGCTCGAGCAAGGGGCAAAGAGCAGTAACAAGCCACAAGGAAGCAAACGGAAGTCAGGATTAAGTTCACTGAGATTTGACCAAATTCCCCGTCTCTGAAAGCCAGTTGCAAGTGCAGAGCGTTTCTTCCTTCACACACAGCCTCAGAAGGCCAAACTGMGCAATTCCTGGCTTATAAAAACAGGCAGAGCGTTGCCTGTACGGAGAGAGTTGAAATGATGCACCGGGGACTGCTTAGTGTGTGATATGCAAATGCAAACCTCTCCTTGAGGCATCACGACTACAAAATGTCTCACAATTATGCTCGGTTCTTGAAAAGCCATCTCTCGCTGTGGATTCCTCCCTCCCAAAGCAGCAGGGCTCCATTCTCTCAGCAAATTGGTGTTAGGCCTTCGCCCCCCATCTCCCAAGCAATAGCTCTTTTGCTGAACCAAATGGACTGACAGCTGAAAAGGTTGTTGCCTCCTGCAACGCACCTTTGCCTGTGCCATTTCCCAGGCAATGGAGTAGGAACAGGCAGATTCAGCGTAATGGGCTGTCGCAGAGCGCCGTGCCTGCCGTTCGCCAGGCTCCGGCTCTTTTGCAGCATCTTTAGCATGGCTGCTTTCTGCAGAGGTTCAAGTTCAAGCAGGCTTTGTCTGCCTTTACAGAAAACAACTGGTGAGAGGTTGTCCCATACGCCCCAGGAAGGGGAACCAATGATAGCTTCAGCCTAGTTATGGCCATGGGCACATTCAGGGTTGGTCGACTGAATCTGAAAGTACAAGTCAATGGGCAAGTGTSGGATGGTTGTCGTCCCTGCCACCGGCCGCAGGAGACACTGCAATGGGGACTAACATGGCTGGCATGTCTTAGGGACCTCCTGCTGCTGGACAAAGCCCCAGTGGGCTGAGCAGTCGGATGGAGGTAGAGCCGTGCACATAAAAGGTGTTTCCAGCTGGTCTTACTTGAGTAAGATATGCACTTTGTCAGTCAGAATTGCCTTATTACGTGGTCAGGACATGGGTTTCCTAGCAAAACAGATGCTTTACGCTGCCGAAAGCTTGAGAGTACAGCTTGTTAGCCAAGTGCTGGTCGGGTGGTGTGGGGCTGAATGGTGCTCAGTGACGGCCAAAGGAAACAGTAATGCAGAGTCAAGCCTACCCCTAACCCTGGCTACCCGTAAGCAGCAGCAGTGAGCTCCTGCCTGCTCGGCAGAGTCCACGGAGTATTTCCTGCCCTGTTCAGAGGGCGAATCCTTTCTGCTTTTTAGATGCTCTTTCAAAATGGCTTGTGATAYTCGGCGCGAATTACTTCAGTGCAGACATCCCAGAAGTGTTAAGGCTCTGGTTTTCAAGGTCCTGAGCAGATCCGAGGTGACAATGGGACTCAGTTCACATCCCGAGAGTTCCTGCTGTTTGCTAAAGGCAACGSTATCAGACATGTCACATCAGCTCCCTGCTGCACTCAGCTGCAGGCAGATTAGCGGCAAGATTCACTCTGACATTCAGGCGAGCGACCAGCGCTCCAGCCCAGGTGCGGGTGGTTTGCAGCACCGGGTTGCGCTCACTCTGTCACTCTGCTCGGCTGTTGAACTGCTGGTCAAGCCGCTCTGAACTGCATACAGGCAATTTTGTTCAGCGGATATAATGGGAAGTTTTTGCTGGGACTTGTTATTCAGCAGAAAATGAGCACCATCAACCGCAGGAGATCATGTTGACACCAAGTTGCAGGAAGCAAAAGTTTTAGTAAGAAATTACCAAGACAGCTTTCAGAAAACTGAAGCGTTTGTGTCACAGACTGCTCTTCTCTTACTTTATAGAAGTGGCCTTGATGATAGGGAAGAGGTGGCTTTCACTGAAGCACAAGCTTAGCAGCATGTCCTGCTCCGGTGTTAGCAACTGCAAGCAAGGAGCCTCCTCTGGCTGCTGTGGACTTGTACTGGAGTCCTGMTGTGGTGAGCACTGCCAGCATCCCTGTGGCACAAGGTCTGTTTGGCCTTGTGTTTCCTCTTCACACTATTTGCCTGTAGGAAGAGCCCTTTTGTGCTTCTCAGGCGAAGTTTTAGTAAGTTGTGAGGAACAAGCCTCGGTGAAATAGCACTCGGTGAGCTCGG